TATGAACACAAAATATTGTTATGAAATCTTGGATGTACCTTGGAAGTATATTTTTACTTTCTTTCTGTGAGAAAATAAATGGTATTTAGGACGAAAGGATGATGTGGGTGAGGAAAGTCACCTGGAGCAGGGAGATATGGAGAAGCCTGATTTTTTAAAAGAAAAATAATACATTGATTGGAGGACCTTTTTTGGTGGGGGAGGCATCTTTCCAAATACTGTATCTAAATCCCACTTTATGAAAAAAAAGCTACTTAATTGAATACTTCCCTGTACTCAACATTAAATTGTTCTAAAAAGAGAAAAAAGAAAAGTCTCAAAAAGATTGGCAAGCCTGCTGAAAAGATGGGTTTTCATCTGTGGTCTGGGTGTCTGAACAAAAGAATTAGCACCTATTGTCAGAGGTGGAATGGCTAAAGACCATGCCAATGTAACTTTTAGTCAAATTACTAACATTCTGTGAATATAGCTCCATGATGGGCAGAGATCTAAAAGTGTCAATTACTTTGAGATAGCAACATAAAGAAATGATTTGACCTTAAAATAAAAATGATAACATGTCTTACAGTCTTCGAAAACTCTTAATTCTGCAAAGTATGTTTCCATCTATGACCTTGTCATGTGACATGGTGGGGATGCAGAGTGTTTTAGTATGTTAATGAAGGAATGAATGAATCTTATTCTTGCAACAATCTGGAGAAAATAAATGAAATAAGTATCACTATTTCTACCTGACAGATACCCAAATGAATGCTTGAAGAACCCGTGACTTTCATTTTAGAGCTCATTAGGGAAAGATTTGGTACTGGAACACAGTCCTCATTAATTCTAATCTAATAGAATATTCTATCCACAACTGCACCCTCATCTGCAGTAACGCCGGGTTCCACAAGTTGTTGCAGCTACAAAGCCAAGGACAGTCGGTACCCATGTAAATAATGTCAAAATGTTCATCAGATATTGATTGCCCGTCAGGCCTCCCCATTCACCCGGTGTGATTATCAGTGTGATCACTGCAACATCCATCCACTTGCTCATTCAGCTCTGTATTATCATGGGTCATCCTCCACTCGGAATTCAGAGCTGCTCTATGAGCCAGATGCTTACATACCACTTTCAAATTTGTACAATTGACGATGACAGGGCACAACCACAAAGCTTCCTTTCTCTGGTCAAGAGTGGGAAGTCATATAAACCAGTAACAGAAGGTGCTTTTCTATCATGAAGAAGTAATAACACAATTAGCACTTTTTATCAACATACACTTGAATCACTGCTCAGCAACAGAAAACACAACAGAGTCACTAAACTTGGGAATCCCATCTCAGAGCCTACAGAATGTTCTCCGTTTAGATTCCATTTGGAGGGGAAAAGGCTTAGATAGGTTAACATAAATCATGAAATTGTGATTTCATTAATCTCCTCACATGTAAAGCAAGCCCAATATCAGGTGAAATAGATTCCAGATCGGAAGTTGCTCCATTTTATTTGATGAATCACATGAATCAATCCAGCTATTTTTCTTGAGAGCATGCACGGGAACAAAATGTACCATAGCAATTAGAACTGCAAACAAAGGTAAATAAACAAACGGATACAACCAGACAATGAGATATTATTCAGCACTAAAAAGAAATGAGCTATCAAGCCATGAAAAGACATGGAGGAAGCTTAAAGGCATATCAGTAAGCGAAAGAAGCCAATCTGAAAAGACTATATACTGTGTGATTCCTTCTGGAAAAGGCAAAGCCATGAAAACAGTAAGAAGATCAGATTGGTGGTCGCCAAGGGTTGGGAGAGGGATGGAAAGACAAAGCACACAGGATTTTTAGGGTAGTGAAACACCAAGAATGAAACCAAAGCTAAACTAGGTGGTAATAATGTGTCAGTGTAGGTTCAGAGATAGTAACAAACACACCGATCCTGGTGTGGGATGTTGGTAGAGGCGGAAGTTGTGCAGGTGTGGATGTAGGAGCTCTATAGAAACTCTCTGCACTTTCCACTCAGTTTTGCTGTGAACATGAAATTGCTCAAAGAATTAAAGTTATTAAAAATTTAAAAAGTAAAGAGATCGCAAAATTACCATCATGCTTTTTCCTGAAAATATAGGTCAAATCTTATTCCAATGAATGTTATTACACAAATTCCTCAGTCACAAGAAAGTGTGCAATACTAACTTATTCATAAACTTAAAATCTGCCATAAAATCAAATTTTAAAATTCTGAAAAAGTCTTTGTATTTCATAGTAAAGTTTAATTTGTAGCTGCATTTGTATGGTGGCAGAACAAAAGACTGCATTATAATTTGGTGTAGTTGTGAATTAACAAAGATTATTATGGGTCACAGGAAAAGGTGGCAAAATTAGTAAGTTTTGCTCAAGGTGCCAATTACAAGGAACTTGACAAAGAAACTCTTAAAAGAGACATCTGGACAGAGAATGGGAATATATTTATACAGGATAGCATACATGAAAATATTATTTTAGTGTACATGTTCCTCATCAATCCGTTCGAATTGGCAGCCTTCTGATATATTTTGCCAAACATCAGGTCTTCATCAAATAAGAGATGTGAATTTTTTATTATGGGTTGTCCACTGAACAACACTAAAAAATTGTCTTCAGTAAGAATTTTTAGGACATTAAAGATTCTGATTTAACTCACATGGACTGAGCCATGTTCAGTAGATATTTGAGGTAAGTTTTTATGATATCAAAAATTACAAGCAATAAATCCATTGGCAAAACTTCTATTTTTGTCTCCTGCTATAAAACTGAAACCATTAAGAGTTAGATTCAGGCAGGTTTAAATGGTTTGAGACCAAAAAACAATTATTGGTCAACCTGCCAAGGTAGGGACAATTCCAATGTTGACTTTTACCCATGTCATCGGGATGCCCTAAATATGTTTAGTGCATAATATCTAAGGCAATTTAATCAGAGGACACAGAGAAGTAAGCAGGGTTCTTTGTTCACACCATCACCCCTTTATCTGGTAGCTACTGTCTCCAGTTCACTCAAAGAGTAAAAGGTAGCAATGCCTTTCAACTATCAAAACACAGAGCTTGCAAAAACGGTGTCATATTTGTTTGTATACACCTAGCATTCCAGGGTCTAACTCACTTCCTTGAAAAGGTGATTTAATATACAATTATAAACATAAAAAATACTAAACACCTAACTTCTATTTCGTGCCATAACTCATTTCATTACTGGAATGGGATGCTACATTGCTTCCTTCAGATGCAAAGCACATCTCTTTATTTTGAAGGGAACCATAGACTGACACAAAAGTGTATTTCTTAACTAGAAGCAGAAATACATTTAACAGGGGGCGGGGGGGAGAAACCATTACAGAAGTATGTTAAGCCAAAAAGTAAAGGATAATAAAAGATCTTATTGTTTACCTAGAGGACTTATCAGGATCTAGCTGTGTGTGCTTTTTGAAAAAAGGAATATTTAGAAACAAAAATGATTGCTGAACTCAAACTATTTTACACATCTGCTATTCTCCAGCCCCTAGCCCAGAGTCTGGGGTATAATAATACTTAATAAATATTCTTTGATTCTGTTTCACATAAACTAAAATAATAAACAATAGCAAGTAGATACTTTAAGGGGAAAATGAAGTAAACAAAAATAATGCATAAATATGGTGATACTGATAGGAAGGCAGCCACTTCACATCCTCAAAATGGAATAGGTTGCCTAGCTGGCATGGCTCAGTGGTTGAGATCAACCTATAAACTAGGAGGTCAAGGCACATGCCCGGGTTGCGGGCTCAATCCCCAGTCGGGGGCATGTAGGAGGCAGCCGATCAATGATTCTCTCTCATCATTGATGTTCCTCTCTCTTTCCTCTCCCTTCCTCTCTGAAATAAATTTTAAACAATATTTTTTAAATGGAATTGGTAACATTGACATGAAATAAACAGCATAAGTGAGCAACAGAGAGCAGGGAGCAACATTCTGCTGGTGGTTTCATTCTAGGAGGTCCGCAGGCCTCCGTGACTGCCTCTGTGACTGTTCTGTGAAGCCTCGGCTGTTTCACAGGTTCCACAGTGGCCACAAATATAGCTGATCCTTGTCTGTGCATCTAGGAGATTGCTTTGTGACTCAAGGGAAAGACAAACAGTCAAAGCCCTATGAGAGAGGGAACTCACTCAAAGCCTGCGGACATCCCCAGGCACCTAACCAAAGCCCGGACAGCAACTCTCCAGAGAAAATCTTGTATGATACAGAGAAAAATCAATGTGGAAACAAGTCCAAAGGGGCAGAGGACGGGCCCAGTGTTGTTATTGTTGATTCTGTTTGGAGGTTACATATAAAATGTTAGACTTAGAAGGAACTTTATGAAGGCCCTCCGTTCTCCTGTAGACAGAACCCACAACTCATGCAGATGTTTCTATTTTTAAAAACTTCCAAAGATGATGAGTTTGTGATCTCCTTGGTGATTCCCCTTCCAACATGACCAAGGATTACTTCAAGTCTCGGGATTCCTAGATGTTTTCTCCAATAAATACAGTCAATATATTTTATCTCTTTCTAATAACCCATAACAGGGAAGTCTACTTTTTATGGCACATGAGTAGACTAATTGAACAATTATATGTTGGCAAGCACTGCTAGTGTTATTATGATGACTAATGCTTCCATGTGTTGTCACAGCCCAAAAAAAAGATGTTAAGTTCTGAGCTATCCCAAAGTGCATGGTGCTAGACACAAGAAAATCCAATTAATACATTTTTAGTTAATTCAAAACAACCTTCATATAATTCTCCTTATATCTTAGTTGAACTCTCTCCACCTTGATTCAGGGGGAATCTCTGACTCTGCCCAGTTGGTCAAGAAAAGAAGGAGTGCATTGTCCTCGTGGCAAGAATTCATGTCCTGGATAGCTGTTACTAGAAATCACTCTAAAGTCTTCTCAACTCCCCACCAACCCCTTTAACTTCCCTACATGCTGAGTTATTCCCAACTAAAACCCCTTCTTCATATTTCACCTGAATTGGGAAGCCCAGAACTTGAACCAGCATGTTGGCAATTTGGCAATATTGGGAATATAGCCTTACACGTCCCCATCCCACAAGTAGACCATGACAGGCTCATGGCGCCTGGTTATGCTAAATTTGAGGAGATTCATTATTGACCACTTATTTAGATCAAAGGTCCACAAAGCTTTTTCTAAATCCTCAGGAAACTCGCCTCTTTACTCAAAGTTTGAACACTTGATCACAACTGAACATACTTTCTGTTCTATCAGTAAGTAACTCTTAAAACGTTTCAAAAAGAAGTTAGTGTCAACTCTAATAAAATTCATTTCATTAAATCTCTTAAGGGAAACAGTGATAAATAATTGGTCCTGAATAGAATTTTCCAGTCTAGCCAGTTCAGTGAGTTTTGATAGCTGCATTATTATATCATTTAAAATTTTTGCCTATAAGGAAATAGTATGGATGTATAATATTGGCCAAAAAAAAAAAAGTGAGTGTTACCTGTTTTGAGAAGAGTGTCAGTATAGTGCCACACCACTTATTTTAGTTTTTCAGATCAAAGTTGAAACATGTCTGCAAATTGCCCTCTTCGCCAATTCTTTTGATGGTGACAAGATGCTCTGTCCAGGTACAAGTAATAGAGAAGAGCTGGGGACAAGGAGAGGCCTTATGTGTGATTTATTAAGATGTGCATACAAGCACTAAAATTTTGCATCTCCTTGAGATGGGGGAGGAGGGGCAAAAAAACAAAGATTTTGTTATTATACCTCATAGGGGATTTATTAAGGCTCAAATCCTCCATACACAGGCTATCACTTCTAAGGTTGCCCCAGTAGGACTTCCTTTCTTTACAAATTCAGACTAGCTCCATGAGCCTAGCCTTTTAAAAGTATCTGGACATTTTTAGTTTTCCTCTAATGTTACCATTACTTTCACTAGAAATAGAAACAAATCTTAAATTATTTTTTTTTCTTTTTAAAGCATGATTGCGAGGGGGAATATGGAATGCTTACTATATGCCAGACTGTGTGGTTAATTCTTTAATGTCTTTTTCAAAACTTTATGAGGTAGATATTATTTCCATTTTCCAGTGGAAGAAAGAGGGACACAGGCTGGATAAGTAATTTTCAGAAGGCTACACAGTTAGCAGAGCTCCACCCAAACCCAGGCTAAGACCACAGCCTGTGCCAACTCCTCTGGGTTGTGTTAGACCAGCCTCATTTCCCTCAACTTTGTTTTGTAGAATTCTGCAAGATGTGAAAAAAATGATAGCTAGTTAGCCTGAAATGTCTTATGGATTCTTAGTTTACTCTTCTTGACTCTATGCTGGTAGACACTGAAGTTCTCCAACTTATTAATTCTTTCATTCTTCCATACATATGATATAGGATTGTTTGGTTTTTTATGGCTTGCATAGCTTTTTTTCTTTGGAATAAAATAATGACTTTTTCAGGGCAAAATACTTTTGCCACTTCAGGATTATCTATCAGTTACTTTTGTTGTGAATCAAACAGAGTGGAACGTATGTTCTTTAGTCACAGTTTCCTCAAAGTTAAGTGGAAATGATGCCCCATGAGCTTTGTTGTCATTTCCTTATTATTAAATAATATGCCTTCATTTGGTGTTAGGTCATCTACAAGTAATCATTTCCTCCTCAGTTATCTGATCTTAATGTAGTAAGTCCTCTGTTGCAAAAGGATAGCCAGGCTTAGGGGAAATCCACAAGTCAAAGTCCACAATGAACCATAATTTAATCAATTCACTGGCTATCAGAGAAGCTCTTTCACGTAACCTGATAGTAATTTCAGCTTAAATAATGCTTCACTTGAAAAGAAAAGAGTTTTGATTCTCAGATAAGACGGTCTAGTGCAGCCAGGATGTACAGCACAGTTACTGCCCAAGAGGCATCAACAAGTTGTAAAATATTGCGCAAGCTGCCTGAAGCACCTAGCACTACAGAGGAACTCAACGCTTGAGGTCAATTATTGTCTTTGAAGGAGGAGCAGAGTGAATGAGTGACAGCGCGGTACCATACTCTCTTTTCCCCTTGAAACCGTGGTGAGGATTCTTTCTCAAACTTTGTACAGGGAGAATGCTGAGTGTAATACATCTAACGGCATTACAAGTACTTCTGTTAGGGAGGCAAGGCCTCCCTCACAGTTATGCAACATCAGCAAAGTCGGTCCCAAACAACTGAGCATCACACTGGGACTCAGTGAGGGGGTCAGTAGTGAGAGAGCAGGTGCTCAGCTGCCTGGTGAATGGCCCATTTACAAACCCAACAGTAGTCAGAGGGTAGCAGGGAGCGCAAGAGCAGCCACCGTGATGGGTAAAACCAGCACTTCACAATTCAGTGTGAACTCTGCCCCGCAAGAAGGCACACTAGAGGGCCAATTTCCATAAACCCGGTGCATGCATCTCTCTCAACAATCTTATTTACAAAGCACCTCTTCAGGAAAAATCATGGCGAGAACAACTCATGCAACAAATACTGGTGCTTCCTCAATTGCAATGTCCCTGTGAGATATTAGTTATCAGCTAGATATGTAAGAGCAGCTTTTTCACTTCAGAACCAACTAATTATCTCTCCTAACTCCTTTGAAAAGCAAATGTAGATGTGAAAGCTCGAGTGAAAACCATGTGAAATACATCATGTCTAGACTGCCAAGAAAACCAGGGAGTTTAAGTGCACAAAATCGAAAGATCTTAGTAAACCAGAATTTCAAATCAATGTAAAAAAAAAATCCAGCCTCAGATTTTCATGTGTCTTGTCATTAGCATTTTATATGTGTGCATCAGTGTTAGGGTGGATGCTGCTGCATATTAAAGGCGTGCATACATCCCACACGGTGAGTAGCACCAACATTGTAAAATTATAAACACTAAAAGTGCTTTTCAGGCATCTCTTCCCTTCAGATGCTGCACATTCCTGCAACTGTATGTCCTTGGCAGACCACTGGGAAGCAGATCACACACACAGATACCTTCACTACACCAGCAGAAACCCTTACAAAGGGGTGGGTCCAGGCAGCAGACAAGGAAGTGGAGGTGATTCTTGGTCACCGTGAGCAGACGGGTGCAGCGAAACATAGGGCAGGAAGATATGAGGGGAGGAGGGAAGGGGATCCAGGACTGTCTGTCCAATATATGCAGATTTTTTCAAATGTAAATTATAAAGTGAATGCTGCTTTTATGTGACTGCATAAAGGCAGGCATAACAAGGCTGCTCTACTTCCCTTTAAACACAAGCACATAAAGAGAGTAAGGGATGTGAAAAGCCAATTCTTCGTGCCGCTACTTAATCAATTGCACTCAGTTCTGCTCGATGACACAGCCACACTGCAAAGACCACTCAGCAGTTAATGGATATAACGTTGGAAAAGCACTTTGAGGTCTTCCCAAGGAAGACAGGGGGTAAAAACCCAGAAGGGCACGGTTTTATTACTTAGTAACTGAAAGGCATGACATGTGAAACTCCCGTGACCTGAAAAGAAATGAAGATATTAATTTATTTTGCTTATTCTGATTATTCTATATGAAAGCACTTCTTTCCAACGTTGGAACGGAAAAGCACGGTAGGGTTATCCTCTGCCCTAGGCTGGTCTTGTCGGGATAACCATCACAGGCTGTAAGGAATAAATATGTTCTTCCAGTGTTACAGCCTACGTTTACAATCTGTCCAAATGTAGAGCTGAGGAGGAGTTATGTGTTTTTAACTGTATACATCCATCACTAGCTATCGCTCTTCCCACAGACAGCAAGAAGTCAACAGCGAAACACAAAAGCTAAAAATAAGTGCCTGGGCAATTGCTCGGAAGAGCTGCACACGGGCGCAGTGTGACATGTGCACACATTCCTTCCCTTTGTCTGTGACAGCCGATTTAAAGTAATTGAAATTAAGGGCTCAGATCTAAGAAAAAAATGAAATAAACATGCACTGCACAGCTATGTAAAAGTCAGCTGGAAGTAAAATTTCATGCTCATAACCACACAACGTCACTGTTCCAAATGGCACGTGCCCAGAGGCAGGCAGTGACTATCACATGTTGCTGCAAATGCCATGAAATATGACAATTATAGGCACATCAAATGCTGCAAGAAAGATTTAGTGTCATTCCACACAAGCTGGAAATATTTCTCCACTCACCGGTATTTTAACACATTCATTTCTAAGAGTCCGTCGAATCGACACTATTAAAGACCCACTGTTTACAATTTACTATGCTCTACCGATGGAAAATACTGCATAAGAAGTATGGTTCACATGCAGGTGTACATTCAAAATATATGTCTGAATATGTCATTGCATATAGAAAAAAGTATAATGTAAAAGGAAAACACTAGATTCAGAAAAATCAATAAATCCATGACTTAACTAGGTAGTTTTGGTTTTCTTCTCGTTCTGCAAGAATTTATTAGGTGAGAAAAAGAGCATAAAAACCTTGGAAGTTACAAGTCTAAAATATATTCAAAGGAGACAAGTGGTCTTTCAACAGTCGTTTTTGAACTATTTTTTAGCTTCAAAATGATTTAGCTAACCAAACCTCATAGGAAATAACAATATATTCAATAGAAAGAGGTATTTAATTAATACAAATTTCTTTTATAAGTGCACGTTTATGACATTTGTTTGTTAGGTAAATAAGTGAGGGCGGGTTTGAAAAAGAGAAAAATGTGAAATAGGAGACTATGGGTGACAGTTACATTCTTCTTTGAGTGTCTGACTCATTTCTGTATTTTGGAGTTTTTTGCACCATATTAAGACAATTCTGATTTATACGCGTAAGTGGTTACAAACAATAACATTTAACAGCTCCCTTGCAATCTGAGGTTACTGTTCGAGCAAACAGAAGAGAGAGCAAGAGAAGCTTCATCCCACAGCCTGAACCACCTCAATAACCTATTAACACAAATTAACTCGTCATCACTGCTTGCAACTATGGTAACATTTTCCACATAGTTGACTGTATATGTAGAATTTTTTTTAAAATCACAATACTTAAATCCAATTCAAACCTTGAGAAAACCAAAGATCTCCTCTCCTCACAGCACCCCCACCCCCCACACAGAATGTTCTAGTGGTTAGTGGAATCCAATCCCTATTTGAAAGCCTGTCTTTAAAGAGCCTGCCAGCATACACTGAGTTGGTGTTAGAGGTCAACCACTAGGCTCACCAAGAGGGGTGTAGCATAGAGACACCTGTGGGCAAACCTAGGATTCGAGCAAGGTGTGCCATCTGCAGACCTGCTGGCCTTTGGTCTCCTTCATTTCCTCCCAATGGTCTTGTTCCTCCTCTCCACTACTGTTTTGACCCAGAGCAATCCAACCAATCATCTCTTTACGCTTCATAGTGCGCCTGTTATAAATGGAGATCATCAAGGTGACATCAGAGAGCTGAAAGAGGGCCACCTGGAAAACAAAGGTCTCCTTATAGACAGGATTGGGCTGACCACGTCGAATGGACGTCTTGCAGCGGAACATCTCTTGACCCACAGAATTGAGGAGAAAGAGCTTTCCATATGTATCTAAGAAAAAAAAAACACACAATGTAAATGAAAAAAAAACATCAGTGCTTTCAGTTTTGCTGGACTAGTTCACACACAACGGAAATGAAAAAAACATCAGTGCTTTCAGTTTTGCTGGACTAGTTGTAATATTTACATGGGCAGAAAATTTTTCCTTTTCACATACTGATCAGTATCCTTAGGCCTGGTACTTGCCATGGGACTAACATATTTTACATGAGCGATTAAGGAAAGGGATTATTACCTGGAAAGCATCATGTTTCATGCAGCCCACTGTTGGGCACCTTGCCGATGTTCATAAGGAGCCCTACACATGCAGAAGTGTACTATATACACACACAGCCATAGATACAATCGTGTTTATGCACATGCTTTTTTTCATTCCCATTTTATTTATGTAACAAGATAAATGTGTAGATTTTGCTCTATACATGTTTTCCTTTCCATTGTCAAAATACTGTTTTGTGCCTGAGTTAAAGAGTCCCTTCTTTTATCACGTGTACATATTCTTTGGACCGCCTCATCTACTCAATGACAACTACCAACTCTGGCTTCAATGACAACTACTAAATCCGTCTCTCTAGCCTAGATGTCTCTTCCAAGCTCAGGATCCAACGAATACTACATTTCTCTTCATGGACATCCCACACACATCTCACACTCATCAGGTTCCCAACTCAAACACTCGCTGTTCCACTGTTCCCCATCTCTCATAACATCATTCCCTCAATGATCCAAATCAGTAATCAGGACTGCATTTTTTGACAAGACTGGCTTCCTCACCCTGGTCCAGCCAGTGAATCACCAAGTATTATTGATTCTACCTCCTGAGTAGTTCCCCATCCACCCACTTTTTTGCATCCCCAATGCCACTGAACTCTCAGTGTACAGCATAAGCTCAGATCTCAGCATCTCTCACCTGCATTCCTGCACACTTGCTCACCAAACACCAGTCACTGGATAAGGCAATATTTGTAAAATGCCTATCTGGTCATGTCACTTTCACTAATAAGCAAAAACAAACTTGTCAATACTTCCCACTCGTCTCAGGATACAATTAAATTTATTTATATAGACTAAATACTTGGGCCCTGTTTATCTTCTAGTCTTATTGCACACCACTGTTGCCTTTACAAATTGTAATTCAACCACTTTGAACTACCTTCATCCCTCCAAACCCACCTGCTCTCTTTCCCTTTCACTTTTACACAAGTTATACATGTCCCAATATCCCAAGTGATACCCACCTTCACATGACTTCTATTCACTAGTTTGGTTTGGACGTTACTTTATCCAAATTTCCTGACCACTCTCCCTCCCCACCAGGCCTAGTTCAGATAACCCTCCAGAGGGTCTCATCAAAATCAAGTTTTACAGACATAGATACAGAGAACAGACTGATGGTTGCCAGAGGGGAGGAGGGTTGGAGGAGTAGGTGAAAGGTGAAGGGACTGAGAAGCACAGATTGGTAGTCACAAAGTAGGCAAGAGATGTAAAACACAGCATAGAAAACATAGTCAATAGCATCGTCATAACCATGCATGCTGCCAGGTGGGTACTGGCAATATTGTGGGGAACACCTTGCAAAGCATATGATTGTCTAACCACTGTGCTACCCACCTGAAACTAATACAAAATAATACTGAATGTAAACTGTAATTGGAAAAAAAAAATCCTGTTTTAGCTTCTCTCAGCACTTATCACCCAGGATTTCATTGCTTGTTTACTTGTCTGCAAGACTCTCAGTACCCCAATGGTAAAAGGAGGAATTGCCTTGTTTATTATTGTATCCAAAGCCTGCCCCGGGGTCTAACATGTAGCACACATTCAATAAGTATTAAGTATTTTATAATGAATGTTCATGACTAGCCAGGATGCTCAACTTCTCTTTGTTCTTTTGGTCTCAAGTTTTTCCAAACTTGCAAAATGCAGCTTATTTGATGATCCTTGCACTAGTATGCTGTAAAATGGTAACTAGCCTCATATATTTAGTCATTTATAGAAAGGAAAGAAAATATCCAAATCACTGATAGAGCCTACTACTTTTGCTAAAATTATTGAAAGGATCATTACGAAGAACATCATTCCTAAAACAATTATATTTTTAGGAAAATCACTTATCAATTTCTTGACTTTTTTCTTAACTACGACTTTTACCACTAACTTATGTATGCCCTATTTTAAAAAAAATCCTAAATGCTAAGGTGCTTTCCAAATTCTATTGTTCTGTACATTCTGTACAGACTGAAAGCTGATTTGTGTTTACTGCTCACTTTCCCATCTAAAACCAGTCAAACCTTTTACAAGTGTAAACCCAGGTCTCTGTAATCTACGTAGAGGAGAGCATTGTAGGATGGGAAACAAACTACAACCTGCGGTGTTCTTTCTATGTTGATTTTTTCCTATCCTGGTTTGATGTGTTGTTTTATGCACTTATCCACTGAGAAACACAAGGTGTGAAATTACACTTCAGGTGGGAAAACACTTCTCTTTCTCAGACTCGGGCTCTCCACTCTTCAAACTGCTTTACGGAAAAGCTATCAGCAAACCAACAACGGGGGAGTGAATTAGCATTGCTGCCTCTGTAGGGGCTACATGATTCCCGAAGGAAAAGTTCAATCCCGCCACCAAACTGCACTGGGAATTCTGCTGCCAGGGTGGCAGTGGGAACTGAGTTAACCTTGCAAGCAAGGACCTGCTTATTTCACAAAGAGAGCAATTTCAAGCTTTATCCTGTCGTAAGACTGTTTTCTATTTACGAGAAAGGCCACCTCCTACCAAGCCACCATCCCTGAATTGTAAGTGACAGGAAGGGGAAATAATAATTTCATAAATCCAGTCTGCGGACACCTGGCCGAAGAAAGGAAATGGTGCTGATCATTCTGGCTCACAGGGGAACCTTTATCAGCAGGAATGATGTGCTTGCTTTTCAACAACCTGACCAGAGGATGAGGGCATCCTGCTGTGTAGAAGAGTGGGGAGCAGGGCTTGGGTCTTTTGGGGTTCAGTGACTTATTCTGATGAGTACCAGTCCACACGGATAGAGAAAGGTCCACCGAAGTAAATAGACAACTTAACTGAGCTCTTTTTTAATTCTTTGAAATTGATAATACTTGTTACAAAACAACAACAAGCAATATTTTATCTTCTGACGACGAGATAGAAAGTCTCTGTGTCTCTAGTAACTTGAAACGATGACCCAAACACGGAATGGGTCACGATCCCTGAAGTGCTGGATGCTGTTCTGCCAACTCAGTTCTCCAACTGCTTTACCCGCACTTGTGCCATATGTGGGGGAAAAAAAGTGTAACAGCACAACAGTCCCCCCTCATCTCCCATGGTTTCAGTTACCCGTGGTCAGCCACGGTCAGAAAATGTTAAGTGAAAATTTCCAGAAATAAATGATTCATACATTTTAAAGTGCATGCCATTCTGAGGATCTTGATGAAATCTCCCACCATTCCTCTCAGTTCCACGGGGGAGGTGAGTCATCCCTTTGTCCCCAGTATCCAGGCTGTACACACTCCCCACTGTTCGTCACTTAGAAGCCACCTGGGTTATCTGATCCACTGTTGCGATATCTCCGAGCTTATGTTCAAGTCACCCTGGTTTTACTTAATAATGGCACATTCACATAGCTTTTATTATAGTATATTGTTCTCATTGTTCTACTTTATTACTAATTTGTTAATCTCTTACTATGCCTAATTTATAAATTAAAATTTATCATAGGCATGTGTGTATAGGAAAAATATAGTACACGTAGGGTCAGTATACTATCCATAGTTTCAGGCATCCACCAGGGAGCGTGGAACATATCCCCCGCAGTAAGGGAGGGCTCCTGTACACACATCCTCAATGTGTCACGGCACCAAGTACATCTCTTGGAACTCAGAAGTCATTTTCCCCAAGAATCAATGTGATACCACAGTGGCTATTTCTATAGCCCATACAAAAAGCTACCCCTTTGCAGCATGACAGTCTACCACCTGGTACAACAAACACAGCCTCAGGATGGGGGCAGGGGAACCATGATATTCTGGGCATGGGAAAGAAATTTTGTCATTTGAATTTATTAACAACTATCAAACATTTTAAACATATGTAAAAGAGTAGAGGATAATAATACACATATTCAGTACCTACCCAGACTTGTAATATTTAGTATTTGTCTTATTTACTATTGATCTTTTTGCTTTTTGTTTGACTTTTATGAAATAAAATATTACGATTAAAGATAATCTTGAGTATCCCTCCTTGATCCTGTTCAATTTTTCACTTACAGGTAACTAATATCCTGGGTTTGGACTGCATCATTTGCATGTATGTGTTTATTTTAATTTTTAGTTACTGATTTTAGAGAGAGAGGAGGTGGAGAGAGGGAGGGAGGAAGGGAGGGAAATAAGGAAACATTGATTTGTTATTCCACTTATTTATGCATTCGTTGGTTGCTTTTTTTATGTGCCCTGATCTGGGATAGAACCCACAACCTTGGCATATCAGAATGACACTCTAACCAACCTAGCTACCTGGAGAACCTTCATGTATGTCTTTAGATTTTCACCCTTTACGTAGATGAATGTTGGATTTTCACAATGTAAGTAAAGAAATTCAAAACATATTTAACAGTATTTTGCACATTAAAAAATATTTAACATTTTAGCTTATGTCTTCCCAAAACTTATTTTTTTCATTTGATATTAAATTTGTTATATTATCTATGGGGCGCAGTTACAGTGTTTTGGCCAGGTTCAAGCCTCAGACTAATGAAAGGACAGGGTCCTCTCATTGCCACATGCAAGTCCCAGCTGGAGGGCAGGGCCCTCCCAGCACAATCATAGCCAACGGCTGTGGTTGTAAGCTTGAACCTATGGTCCAAACACATGGCCCCACGTGCCTTGTGGTAGAGTTCAGGTGCATATAGTTGAGTGAGGTTGAAACTCACGAGAATGCTGTAAACAACGTGATCACGCCCCTACTTTGCCTCGTGGCATCTGCTA